AACAAACAATGGGTTGATCAAGCTCCGAAACGTGGACAAATGTCTTGAGTGTCAGCACAGCACTGTTGCATTCTTCGTTTGAACTGCTTCAGGGCATGACGAAACCATCCCTGAGCGATTCTCTTACGTCTGTCGTCTTCGCCAGATGGTCTCTTGATGCCAGGATGCACCATAAAAACGCTATCGACCAATACGAATGTGTAATTCAATCGACACATTTCCCATCGCTAAAATGATCAATCAAAGCCTTCCTCTGCATCATTTTCTTGGGATATCATCGCAGTAATTTCCATTCCATTCAACAAACACTTAACAATAAAAGAAATTTGAGTAAAACGCAAACTTTCATTCCACTAAAAGTTGCTCTTTCGCACTTACTGTTTGATGAGCAAGTTGCGCGTTCGCTTGCAATTAAGAAAGAATTTAAAAAGGACACTGCCTACTCACAAGTTCAGTGTTATCTCGAATCGCAAACGGAAAATTCTCATCATGAAGCGGAATTGTGCTCAGCGAAACGAATTGTGGTTCCCAGTTGTACCTCTTATACCTGCAAAATAGAAGAGATCAATCGATCTCGGCTTTGTGATCACTGAATTCTAACGCCAATTTTTGGATTGCACTTCTGGAATGCATATTTCAATGAATGAAATTTCTTGTTCAGCAATACTTCGAGGAATGAAAACAAATAAAAGTGCTTAATTGTAGACGGGTACGGCAATCCATTTCACTTACAGCAATATTGTAGATTGATTTTCGTGGGTGTCATTCTTTTGGAACCACTCTTGTAAGCCGGGTATTGAATGTGCACCTGCCGCATACCTTGCATGAAATTCCACTGCATCGCCTTTCTTAAACATCTCGTATAAACGCTCCTTTCTCCTTGGCATACTGCAAGAAACTTTCATATCTTTAGTTTTACGCCTCATTATCAGTTACCAGAGAGAAGAAATGAAACGTTAGCAACAACGTGCCCTGTCGTCGGAAAACTGAAATGAATTTTTATTTCGTTCAGTGACCATTCGACAGAAGTCCGAAAGTGATTCACGCGTTTGTTTCTGATGCAACAATAAGTTCGACGATTTATTTGGTTACCAACTCTTTAATTGATCCTTTCGCTTCAAATATTCGAAAAACGAGAGCAGTTTTTGGATGCCTGTTCAATACATTTGCACATTCTTTCAGCATCTGCGCTTCAAACCCCTCCGAAAATACGTACTCGTAATCGGCAATCAATATGTACTTTGTCCAGGACAGCTGAAAGAAATAACGTTATAGTATCGGTTGACAAACAAAGAGTTGCATATTTGAAACAATAGTCTCCTTGGGAATTAAAACGTATCATCATTAGTGAAAGCAGTTACAGTGGCGCTAAAAATCCATTGAAAAGAATTAATCACAATTTTAACTTTAATGAGAGAGTAAAAGTTTGTGACGAGAGTGGGATTCGAACCCACGCCTCCGAAGAGACTGGTGCCTTAAACCAGCGCCTTGGACCGCTCGGCCATCTCGCCCTGTTAATGCTGTATTCAACAGCTCTGATGAACCGATATTTTTAGCTGTTTAATGGAAAATGGGATTTTTTTTTCACGAACCAAACGTGCCACATTCCTGGCCACATTCGCTGGATACAACTTTCGTTCTGCATCGAGCACTGAATCGCGTATCGAAACGTCACAACCGTTATAGCTGCGGTAAATGATGTGAATTGAAAGCTTTTGATCGATTAAAGGTGCAAACATCGAAATCTTAATTGAATTGAGTTTAATTTTTCAACGAACTCTAATTCCGAGACCTCTCGAATCAGTCAATGATTTTCGGTGCTTCAGCTGAAGAGCTAAACTCCAGTTGACACACTATTTGATTATGGTCTAAGCGGGTGTTCTCCGTTCCACTGAGCTTGCATTTACTTGCTATCAGAACAAAATGGGAATCTTATGCGCTCAGCAATCTTAGCCAAGAACTTAGCAATTTTTTTCAAAAACATTGACTACTTATAAACAGCCACAAATTTCATCGATGTACTGTTCATTCTGTGATTCAGCTGCTACGAGAGATTTTCAAGGTGATTCGAATGCAACAAAATATTCATATTTCGTTTACCTTTGTTTTGGTTTCCATAAGAGCATTTTTTAAATCTTTGCTCGCTATAACTATCGAGAGTGATATTGGACCATCCCATGTGTTCACCTAAAACGCATTGAGCTGAATCAAAGTGGCTAAATAAATCTTCAAATTCAATCAAAACAGCTAGCTTTCGGCTTCTTGAAATTCGCTGAGAAATAAGATGAGTATGGATTTTCCTTTAAAAGCTTATCGTGCGAATGATTTAAAAATGACGTTCGGTTCAGTAAAGTATCGCTGATATTATGAAGCGTTGCATTGTTAAGTTTAACGTTTGAACGGAATGAGATTGATGTTCTTTGCTGCTGATGGGATGAAATAAGCGTGATTCGTTGCTGGTCTTTTTAATTCAAGTATTGCTTGAAATGGAAATTTTGAGTGAGCAATCGCTTCACAGAGGTCTTTCACTTTATTCGTATCATCCATCAGATTGAACGATAATCAGATCGACACGAAGATAATATTATCAAGCACTTTGTTCAAGAATGGAATCGTGTTCATCAACGCGTATTCTTTCAAAAGTAACCTGATTAACAATTCGCTCATCAAAATAGTCATAACTCAAGTGAAGTATCATTGTAATGCGATAGTAGTTCGTCAAGGTTTCACTCATTTTACTTTGTAGTACATTTGGAAGCACACAATAATCTTTATAAACCATCGTCCTAAAATTTTGATATTAACCATCGAACTGTTATCATCAATTCGTCCACAGCAACTGAAAGGACACAAACAACCTTCGTCCACAGAACAACCATTTTGCTTCCACTAATAATCGAGTAAAATTCAGTGATTCTTGAAATTTCGAACGGTTTAAGAAAATATCACTGAATTTCGATCTCATTTCATGAAAGTTGGAGGGGAGGTATTTGTTCCTTGACGAGTCAAGAATACGAGTCAAGAACAGCTCTCGAAAAGATTGTTCTCAGATCGACACTTTGAACTGAATAATTCATATAAAAACCAATGCATATAATCAAGTGCTGAGCATATGGTTGTTGGCATGGATAATTTCCTTCGCCAGCACTCATCTATTGTTGTTCATAAACAAATCGGCCGGAATTATCATTCTGCTGGCCGACCAGTAAACAAAACATCATCATTAATAAGCGAATTGTTAATAAACAAAACGCCGTTGTGTTTTGGTTGATTTATTGCTTGTATTTCAGTATAAAGAGCACTCAATGTTTTATGATGAAACGAACACAATTCATTGTTGGCTCGGTTAGTGATATCTAGAAGATTCATCGCGAATGGACTGCTTGATAAATTGTAAAGTTGATCGAGAAATAAAACATGCTCAGCATAAAAATGACTGAAGATAACCAGTTGTGTGTCAGCATTTTGAAAGGTTGTATCGAAAAAATTTTGAGAATGAATAATTAATTATCAGCAATAAAAAATCATGAGAATGGATGCAGCATTGTTTTTTTTCATTTTTTAATGATTTCAAACATGCAGATTTCATCACACAATATGTCAGTTGCTTTTGCAGTCATACTCAACTCAATTCACCGCGCTGCAGAACGCATGAAAATTTAGAAATTACTTGAACATTCCATGTGCTACATTCAGCACTTCCACATTCACGTTTCTTAGTGAACGAAACTGGAAACTTTTTCACTCAGAAAAGGCATTTTGACAATGAATGCATTTCAGTCGAAATACCTTCAATAATCTGTGTTTGATAATTTCGATACATCAATAACTTGAGTTGCAATCTCGTACCCCCCCCCCTCCAGAAAATAAAAATAAAAAAGTGAAAATGATATTAGCGGGAGAAATCGAAAAAGAAATCAAGTTCTATTCGTACATTTGAACAATTCTGAAAGAAACATCCAGTTCAACCAATGAATATTTCACCTTACCTTTGCGTGCTATCAAACATATTCAAGTGACCGCTCGTCGATACTTTAAAATTTAGAATTGAATCGTTTATTTCATTTCTAAACAGTAATATCATTGAGAACATGACCAGAATAATCAAAGTCAGATAATAGGCAAAGAGCACTCTAACTGATTGATTAATGCCATGCGAGTAATAACGCGATAGTTTCTTCATTCGTAGCAATAGCAGTAGTCGTCTGAATATTCCACGCTACATGCAGTGATATCGAACAATTAATTATCAGTACGATGCACTGCAATGTTAATTAGACTAATTGTTCAGCAAGCAAATGAGTTGCAGAATGAGGCGACTGAAGCATGGCAGATGGGTGCTAATGCGCTCCATAAGAGTGTGTTTATATCGTATAAATAGACAGTCGATAAATGGATGCTAATACAGTTGCCGTTTGATTCGTGAATAGAATTGAACGAAAAATCTTTACGTCGATTGTTTACGAACGCATTTGACTGATGTTTCTAAATGACCGAGAACTGATTAAAATGCCTTACTAAAAGCAATCATTTAAACGACAAAAAAGAATTTATACGGAAGGTCTTTGTTTCAACGTTGCACATGTATCAATTCTTATTTGTCTCTATTTGAGAGACCAAAAAGTTGTCTCACTTTAAGAGCATTATCAGTGCATTTTGCTATCAGAAGTTTGCTGTCATAATTGGTCAGTATTCATACGAATATCGACGATCATTTCTTGACAATATTTGTCAATGAATTTGAAATGTTTCGTGAAAATATGAAAACAATATGAAATCAATTTTTGGTCGGAAGATGATGCGTGAAAAATAAATGTTATGTTGTGAGAATTTTTGAAAATTTCTTATTTACTACTGTAGGGACCATGGTGAAACTTTTTAAAAATCTCTTTACATACAAACTCCTCAAAAAATAATTACGCTACAGTATCGTGTTGCTGAATCAACGCGTGTAATACATCGCAAATTATTGTATTATTATTCTTAACAGCGGTTTTGGAATCGATCAGTCACAGTGAGCGGTCGGTTGTCGACTGCACCGGAAAATTGACAGAGTGCAGTTTTCCCACTCACCAGCACCCTGTGGGCCGGGGCGTGAGTGAAGGCCCAACCGTGATATGACTGACGTAAGAATTTGTACATTTAACGCCAGATCACTGCTCTCAGAGGCAAGATTGGCGGAATTTGAGGAAGAAGCCCGACACATCAAGTACGACATCATCGGTCTGGCCGAGGTAAGAAGGAAAGGTGCAGGTGCAATAGATCGTCCAAATGGTAATTGTTTATA